AGGAAAACAAAATGTTATGTGGTAAAGATTTACTTAATATATTTTTATAATATTTCAAAGTTATATTAAAATATATTATAACAAGTTAAAATATATCAAAAGTAAATATCAAATATTATTTACTTGAAAATATTTTATGACACTATTCTATTTTCAGGCTAACATATATAAAAATTAGTCCTGAGAAGCATTTCTCTCAATTTTAATTCTACCCTTTTTTTGTATCCAGTAACAATCAAAACTTCCCTTTGATAAATATTATCTCCAAAGTTAGATAATCACACCTAACCCTTAGGTCTTCATAAGCATTTCCCTTAAAAAAATACTTTTCCAAACCTACTTTAATTTTTACAGAATAGAAAATTCAAGCTGTTTTCAAACACTTTTCTACCTTTTGCTAACTCTTGACATCCTTTTGTGTTTTTCTAACACCTGTGGAAATTATACATGCTTATCATATTTCACATTTTGTTTTCCTTTAATTACCAACTATATTATATTACTTTAATCTCCCTTTATAGAGATGATTTCATCCAAACTGAGCCCTGACTTTTCTCAAGTTCAAAAAACAACAACAACAACAAAAAAAAAACACACGAAGGAAAAATGCTCTCAATGTCATTTTCAAATTAAATTACATGTATAATTTCAATTAATAAAATGATTTCTTAGTGTTAGGTTCTTTAGGTTATTTATGTTATATTACCTAACAAGATTGTACATGCCTTTGTTTCCAGTTTATTTACAGGGAGTTTTCAACTCTTTTGTTTCTTTGCCCACTGATCTCCAGTTTTCTTGTATACTCCCCTTAGACTTGGACAAATCATTAAGCTTTTTGGTTATAGAGTCCAAACTGTGCAAAAGTGGATTGACTTCCTTGTTTTTAAGAAAGTATAGATCATTATAACTGGCTATCTGAAATTGCAGGAAGTGGTTTAAATTCATAAAAATAATTATGTAATAAGTAAACACTTAAAAAATAAATTCGTAAAAATATTGAAACTATTCAATATAGTTAATAAACCTATGAGAAATAAACAAAAAAATTAAAAACTAGTACTAGTTTTAGCTGTTACTGACCTCTCTATGAAATCACTATTTCACCTCTTACCCTAAGGTTCTGCACTATGAAAGAAGGAATTTATGATTTCTAGCATTCCTTCTGTTTCTAAATGCCTGGGTCCCTTTCCTTTAGATATGTAATGTGGTTTTAGTCCTGAATTTTGTATTGGTTATACCGTTAACACGACACATACATACCACAAAGGCACATTCCTATTAAAGAAAACTTTCAGGAGAAAAAAATGCAAAAATTCAAAATAGCAACTAGGCATTTTCATATACTAAGTGTGAGAGAGTAACTGGTACATCCCTTCCTAAAAGTCAGTGTGGCATTATCTATCAAAAATTAGAATGAGGAAGGCCTTCAAACCTAATATGAGCACTTCTAGGGATGAAAGCTAAAGAGTAACTGGCACACTTATATAATAAACATGTATGTTCAAAGATACATATTACAACACTGGATAGATATATAATATTCAGTTCACACTAATTCCAAACCTGATTTCTTGATTTCCACTCCTAATGCTAGTGAATGGCCCCAGTTGGTCAAGCCAAGTATCAAGGAGTCATTACTCATTCCTCTTTCATATTCAATCTACCAAATAGTCCTATCTCTTTTTCCTTGAAAAAACATTGAGAATCAATCAATCATTCCTTTAGATCTTTACTGATACCAGCCCAGTCCAACCAACTTTATCTCTCACCTGGACTCTAGTAAAAAAAACTCCTAGGTGATTTTTTTCCCATTTACTCTCGTCCTTCAGAACAACAGAAGCCAAAATGATATCAGAACATAAGCTCATGCACATCTCTTTGGAAAACTTTCTCGGGGCACTTGGGTGGCTCAGTAAGTTAAGCGTCTGCCTTCTGCTCAGGTCATGATCTTGGAGTCCTAGGATGGAGCCCTGTGTAGTCGGGCTCCCTGCTCAGTGGGGCATCTGCTTCTCCCTCTACCTCTAACCACCCCCACCCCCTGCTCATGTGCATCCTCCTCTCTCTCTTTCAAATAAATAAAATCTTAAAAAAAAAAAGGGGGGGGAAACTTCCTAATGATTTCCCACTGCACTTAAAGGAAAATCTAAATGCCTCATGTTGGTGTCTACCTGTCTCTCCAATTCATCTCATGCCATGTTCTCCCTTGCTTTGATCATGCTGGCCAAAGCGACAATTCCTAAAACCTACCAACCTCTTTCCCCCTAAGGCCATTTACCATGTATTTCTCCAACCTGGAAAGCATCTTTCAAAGCTGGTTCCTCATTACCCAGTTATTGTCACAACGGCCTTCGTTTGCCCATATATTTTCTCTTTTATACACTATTACTTCATACTATTTGTTCCTTTCATACACTCACTTTAATCCTCAATTATTTTGTTTGTTTATCAACTTTCTTTTTCTTCCACTACATAAAATCCTGATGGCATGAAACTGTTTCACTGTTATTATCTCAGCACCATGTACAATCCATATCAATATTCATTTTATGAATGACAGAACATAAGGGCAACCTGAGTTTTTGTTTCCATTTGCCAATGATAAGCTATTATTTAAACTATGAGTCTAATTTAGACTAAAAACCTCATAATCAGCCAATTCCTCTATCTAATCTACTTCAACTAAAATAATAAAAAATATCAGTAAGATTTATCAAAAAGAACTTAGTGAAAATTTACATAGTACACCATAATGTGACCTGGTTTTAGCAATCTTCTTGGCTTCATCCCTGCCCCCGACCCCCACACACACCTTAATTTGTGGCCATTTCCCCTTGAGAATTATAAATCATTCAGATTAGCTGCAATTCAAAGTGTGTATGGCAAGAGATGAACCTAAGAAAATTGCTGAAGAGAGATCAGACTTTGGTACTGGAACAGGTGTTATGTTTTAGTTTAGAGAGTCAGAGATTTTATCAAAGCTCATATACTTTAAGAACAAGTAGGGCATCTGATCAGCTGGAAGAGTGAGGAATCTGATTTAGCACAAAGATTACCACGTAAATGCAATAAACACAATATTTTTGCTCTCACAGAATCAGTATCATGTTTCATGTGTGACAGACTCAAGTTTAGACTTTACCTTACTGTTAAGATTTCAAAAGTGTCATACTAAAGCCTAGTGTGCCTTGTTCCTAAAACTACCTCCAGTGAAATTACGTGACATTGGCCTTACAGAATCTTGTCCAATATTAGATAATGTACTAGAATCTATATAAGTGATCTTTGCACTGATAACATATTTTCCTTATCTCATTTATTCCAAACTCTACCATATTTTATTTTTTTTACTTTACATTTTTTGTTATGTTAATCACCATACATTACATCATTAGTTTTGATGCAGTGTTCCATGATTCATTGTTTGTGCATAACACCCAGTGCTCCACGCAGAACGTGCCCTCTTTAATACCCATCACCAGGCTAACCCACCCCCCCACCCCCCTTACCATACTTTAAAAACACCCTCTATTGGGGGCGCCTGGGTGGCTCAGTTGGTTAAGCATCTGCCTTCGGCTCAGGTCATGATTCCAGGGTCCTGGGATCAAGCCCAACATCTGGCTCCTTGCTCAGTAGAGAGCCTCAGTAGGGAGCCTTCTCCCTCTCCCACTCCGCCTGCTTGTGTTCCTTCTCTAGCTGTCTCTCTCTCTGTCAAATAAATAAATAAAATCTTTGAAAAAAAAAACCCTCTATTGGTTCTATATGCTTGTATATTCTATTTTTATTTCCAAAATGAAGGGTGCTTACCTAATAAGTATACTCCTAAAACCACAATGCATAATTGTTAAAAATATTATTGTTAAATTGTTAAAAATACTTTCCAATTTGTCGTCATTCTATAATTTGGAAGTTGGTCTTAGGAATGTTAACACTTTAGTATTAATTTTCAATATTAAAACTCACAAATGTAACGGCCTTAACTTTTTAAAAATAATGCCTATATTGCAGCAGGCCCCAGTTCTCCTTTCTTCTTACCCTAAGCCTTTTCTTCACTTACCTAACTCCTGAAAGTTAATTTTATAGCCCTCTTTTTCTCAACATTTGCTATTAAAAATCCCAGGAAAGACAATAAAAATGTTAAGGTCCTCATTAGCACATCCCTCTGGCTCTACCATAATTGTTTTTCCACTGAAAATGATTCCTTGGGAGGAAAAAAAAAGTAGAAATACAGTCAAATTTCCTTTTGAGCCTTTGGACAATGTGCTTTTTTCAACTAACCAGAGCAACATGTTAGGTAACTCATGAAGTTCTGAATCTCTAAACTACAGTCATAAATACAGCCAGCTTCAGTTCTATAAATTTCATCTCTCTTTATCTCAGGAATCGGGAATCAACATGTCCAGGGTGCAGAGCTGTAAGCACAGCAAATAAAACCAGAAGGCAGGGGTGGCTTGGGGGGGTGCTGGGTGGCTCAGTTGGTTAAGTGTCTGCCTTTGGCTCAGGTCATGATCCCAGAGTCCCAGGGATCCTGGCATTGTACTCCCTGCTCAGCAAGGAGTCTGCTCCTCCCTCTGACCCTCTCTCCTCTTGTGCTCTCTCTCTCTCACTCTCTTTCTGTCAAATAAATAAATAGTATCTTTAAAACACACACACACACACACACACACACACACACACACACACACACACAAAGGGGAAAACTATAGATCTTAGAACCCCAATGAGGTTACAAGTGCAAAGGAAAATTGATCATTGCTTTTTGAGGACTGTGTGTAATTTGGAGAATGAGTATCAGAAGATTAATAATGTGAATAATGACTGAAGCAATGAATAATGCAATCTCTGTAATCTACTTCACACAATTCACATCAAAACAAACAGTAAACAGTGGAGGAGACTAAGTCCTTACCTTACCTGCACAAGTGAGTTGCAATATAGAATTAAGGGCCTTGTTTTAGAGTACTTCTTAAATTAAAACAAACAAAAACACAACAGAAACTTACCTTCAAAAAAGGACCCCAACTGGTATTTTCCACCAAAAAATTTTGGCATTGAAAATACAAGTGCTCCCAGTCCTATCATAAAGGATGCAAATGCAAGCCATCTTGGTTTGTGGCCTCTTTCACCAAAGAATGACACAAATAAAGATAACAAACAGAAGGAGATATCATAGCTTGATGATATCAGGCCCGTCAGAGAACTCTTCATTTCATAGCGCTTCTCAATAGTGGAAATGCTAATATTTACGAGGCCATTTACTATAATACCTAAAAGAGAGAAAAGAAAATGTATGTGCATGATTTTTATTAACTTCACCATATGGATTATGATTTTTAACACAATGTACTAAAGTTTGGTTGTGACTAAAGTTTGACTGTCATTTATTTTGACATTTTTTTAATGCACCAATTTTAAAAGTCCCAAAGTTTCAAAGCTAGCAACTCAAACATACTTCCTTAAAAATCAGTTTGCTTTTAAATGGTACACTTGTGACTTTTCAGCTGTTAAATAAAATCGATGCTTACCACATACTAAATTGTAGCTAACTTCATTTTTCTCTATATGACAAACAAAATCAGACTGGTAAATTCTCATGAAGCCAGTTCGCTAGAGAGACTCCAAGAGTAGCATACTCATGGACCTCACTCAGAAGAGTACAAAAATACAAGTGACTCCACTGGTCATTAAAGTAATGCCCAGGGTGCCTGGGTGGCTCAGATGGTTAAGCGTCTGCCTTCAGCTCAGGTCATGATCCCAGGGTCCTGGGATCAAGTCCCGCATCGGGCTCCCTGCTCTTTAGGAGTCTGCTTTTCTCTCTCTCTCTCTCTCCCTCTGTCTCTCATGAATAAATAAATAAAATCTTAAAAAAATAATAAACATGTTTAAAAAAAAAGTAATGCCCAATTGCTGCCCAGGTTGTTCAATTATTAAACATACTTATATATAACTAGAGATCCTTGACTTAGTCTTATGAAACGTGAAATTGATCTCTCAAACCTCTTTTCCTCTAACACTTTTATAGACATTAAAGTTATAATTTAAAAGGTGCTAGAGCAAAAATAAACAAACACTAAGAGTCATTTCAACTACGGGCATTCTAAATCAAATGCAAAGTAAACAAAAAATACACACTTCATCTGTTTATTGCAACTATGATGGAAGAATATAAGGTAAACAAGGAAAAGTTGAAAATTTAATTGTGACTGACTTAACAAAAACGTTTTGTCCAGATACAGATTAAATTTACAGGAGTCTAAACATTAGTATAAGTTGAAAATAAAAAGCATCTGATCAAATTACAGTTTGTAACTAGTTACCCCCTTTACTTAAGAGGATGCCATGAATTGTTTTCATTCATTAATTAACAGAGTATACACAAGACATGATTTCTACAACCACTTTAAATTTTGCTTTATCAAGACTGTTAACTGGAAATACATTTCAAGAAAATCGATATAACAAGTTTTAAAAGTCCTAACATGATTTTACTTTTATGCCAGTTTAATAAGTCAAAAGACAATTTACAATTCTTAAAATTTAAAGGTAAAGTGTCTAATGTACCTAGGAATGACATGCTTATGAGATAAATCTACCTGAGAATATAAAACTTTCCCCATCCAAAAATCAACTCCACCTCCCAGAAAAAAATCAACTTCCCAAAACAAACACTTGCCATACTGATTAAAAGTCAATCATGAAAACTCACTGTCTTTTTGGTACTTCTCTGAGAAAGAAATTTATAAACTCTTGTGGAGGTTTAGTACATTAAGCCTATGAATACCACTCTGAATTCTATGCTGCAAAAGTTCTAAGAACTCTGCTTTAAAAAAGGAAATTTCATGAAAAATTGCATACTATATGTCTCTATTATACATACATGAAAATAGGAGGCACATTAGGAGGTTAAGTGCTAAGAGAAACTCTGGGCTAAGTAAACTAACCTGACAAGCTTTGGGTTTTTGTTTTTGTTTTTCCCAAACACTTCTTAATATACCATGGAAAAGGACCTCCCAGGGATCATGTCTGAGAAACATGGTAATAATTCAAACTTAAATGGTAATAATTCAGATTTAAACTGAGCAAGAATTTATTGGGTCACCTTCATCTAGGATTATGCTTCTTAAATTGGGGACCTCTGGGTAGATGTGGCTCTAGGCTAAAACTGACACATCTTTTTAGGAGTGTCAATAATATTTGCTAATAATTTTAAACAATATTTTACATTAGATGTATGTGTTCTGGAATACAGAAATTTCAGAATATGTTTTAAGATAAAACAAGAAATTTTAATTGTGTCCACCTTCTTTGAACTTCGCATTCCTTTGGCACTGAAATGTTTGATCACGGATTTTGGACAACTAAGACCAAGACACTGAGAGAAGGCGAACTTGGGTGGGGACAAGAAACGTGGAAATGGAAATAAATTTTTAGCACAAAACAACCTTTGGCAGAAGAGCTGCAGTTGACCTTCAATCAGTGCTTACTTCCTGAACACCTAATATGTGCAAAAGCAAGGGGCGCTGAGTTCCTTTCAGACAGGGGAGCGGGAGTAAGAACAGAAAGAATATATTTAGATTTACTCTTCTGTTAATCTTAAAAAAGATCCCCCTCCTCAAACATATTTCTTGGATTACACTTCTTTCCATCAGCCCTGGATGTTCTCTTTACAAAATACTTTGAAAATAAGACTCAAGTGACCAAAAAATATCACATACCATCAAATTCTAACTAACCTTCAGCATTTCCTTCAGGATGCTCCATCTTAATGCTCACCTCTCCTCAATGTGTCTGTTACCTTAGTGTGACTTCCCGTTTCTTTCACCCCCTGCATTAGGCAACACAGCAACAGCTTTTACCTTCTCCACGCTTTCTTTCCTGGGAGCCATTCTTCCTCTACTCTATACCACTCACTCCTGCAAACCAGGTTTAGACTGCAAACTCCTAAGGGTATAAACGTGGACTTTATCAGTAACTCCCAAGAGACCCTAAAAGAGATCCTGGAACAAAACAGATACTGCACAACTCCTCTGCGTTTCAAAAGCCTCACCCTTCAACAACGCCTCGAGCCTTTGCTAACATTTACTGGGCTCCACCTCTACCTGCACACAGCGCAAACTAAATATACTCACAAAACATGAATGCTTCTACCTAACCACAAGTTTCTCCTTTGAGAATTACCTTACCTAACTCACCTGCAAATTAATCCTTCCCTTCCAGAACAATGTAAAAAAAAAAAAAAAAAAAAAAAAACCTTTAGTAAGGAGCTTAGCAAAATATATGCTTCCGTAGCACAGAACTGGATACCCCAAGTTTCTCCTTTGAGAATTACCTTACCTAACTCACCTGCAAATTAATCCTTCCCTTCCAGAACAATGTAAAAAAAAAAAAAAAACAACCTTTAGTAAGGAGCTTAGCAAAATATATGCTTCCGTAGCACAGAACTGGATACCCCCAGTGTAAACGGTTCCCAAAGGAAGGCCCCAGGAATCTCCACCTTCCTTTAAGGAATCGAAACGAGTAAACTGAGGTAGAACACAAAAGGAAAAAAAAGGCGGTGGGGGGAGAAAAGCTCGTACGGCAAGTTTTAAAAGTTGCTACAACAAAGGAAAAGCTAAAATGCGATGCCTGACCCAGCTGACGTGTGTGCGAGCGCTTGCAAGTCCCCAGGCCAGGGCTGCCTCGCCCCGCGCGTCTACCATGCGGGCTCGGCGCGCACCTGCCCTCTCCGCCCCACCAGCTCCGCGCGCCCCTCCTCGCCCTCGCTGGGCCACCGTCCTCTCTCGAGCGGGCGCTGGCCATTACCTTGCGTGAGGGCCAAAAGGCAGTAGTAAAGCAGAAAGCCCTGGGGCGTGTTGCAGCGCTGGAGACTCCGCGGTTGTAAGTTCCCACACCCACAGGGTCCCTCCTCAAACTCGTTCAGCGGCTCTGGAACGGACAGCTCTTGGGAGACAGCGGGATCCGCCGAAGGCCGGGGTGGCTCCGGTGACTTCTGGGGCTTCTGAGGTTCCTGTGGCTGCGAATTCTGTCTCTGGGTATTGGCGGACAAGTCACAGACCTCGACGTGAGAGGGCGATGCAAACAAACGGTGCGGGGTGTCTGGGCTGGAGGCGACGAAAGCCGGGTTCTCGATGCCTTTGCCGCCCTTCATGGTCAGGATGGGTTCTCCCAACTCCAGCGCGTTCTAGTGGCAGAAAAACCCGGTTCCCCTCTGGCTCCTCCCCCGCGCAGGTGGCAGCGCCCCCGTGCGGGAAGACTTCCCGCCTCGGTGCCTTCGCTCCTGCACCGCTAAAGCGCCGTGCCGCCGCCGCCGCCGCCGCCGCCGCCGCCGGTGCCGCCGGGGACCCTCCTCTTCGAGCTTGCCGCCGCCTAGAGCGCGGAGCGCGCACGCCGGGCCCGCTGGCGGGGTGACTGGCGCTCGGCCGCGCCTCACCTGTTGCCGCGGGGGTCTACTGGACTGCGGGGCGCGGGCGTGCGGCCCGGCCCGGACGCCGCCGGCTCACCCCGCGAAGCCCCTCAGCCCGCCGCGCTGCTTCCCAGAGCCCAGGGCCTGGGAACTAACCAGAGGCTGCGAGTCTGGTGGCCATAAAGCTCCCTCTGGGTGCTGACAGGAAAGCTGTAAACACAGTTACATCAGGAGATCATTCCAGAAAATATCCTGCCGGTTTTCTTCCTTTGCTGACTACCAAACCGGATTAGGTCTGGACTGCCAAGAGTCAAGCAGCCACAAATACAATACTTTGGATTTTGAACATCATGGTGCGACTTTAACCTGTCATGCTCCCTAGAAACAGAAATCCCCACCGGCCTCCTCCCCATTACCACGGCCATTAACGTGGCAACATAACCATCTGTTTGGTTTGGCTACCCCAAAACTGAAGATACAGAAATTAGAAATCCTTAAAACCTATATATGATATTCTTTCTGCTGTATACTGCATAGCTAAGATCAGCAATGCTGATATTCATGTAATAATTTCTACCTGTGAAATCAATTTAAAAACACACTATTGGGACGCCTGGGTGGCTCAGTCGTTAAGCATCTGCCTTCAGCTCAGGTCATGATCCCATAATGCTGGGATCGAGCCCCACATCTGGCTCCCTGCTCAGCGGGAAGCCTGCTTCTTCCTCTCCTTCTACCCCTGCTTGTGTTCCCTCTCTCTCTGTGTCTCTCTCTCTCTGTCAAATAAATAAATAAAAATTAAATCTTTAAAAACACACACACACTATTATGCAATAGTTACAATTCATTCTTCCATTCATTCATCAAAAAATGGTGGACAGGAAAGGCCTCACTGAGTTTGAGCAAAGACCTGAAGGAGATAAGGGAGGGAGTCTCATGTGCAGAATAGAATGGCTAGGGTGAATGAAATGGTTGGAGAACAGTAGGAGTTGAAGGCAGGTGAAGCGGTGCAGATGGGGTGGGGAAGAAGTGATTGGGGCTAAACCTTGGAAGCCATCATAAGGACTCTGGCTTTCATTGTGACTGAAATAGGAAGGTTTGGAACCAAGGAGTGACATGTCATGACACGATTAGGTTTTCAAAGGATCCATTCTCTTTGCCTTCTGAACATACACTAATGCATACTAAAATAATATATTTTAAACGAAGACATTTTTAAAACTGTATCAACATTTCAAGATGTTAATCTTTCCCTAAATTAAATGTGTCTTGTGATAAGGAACATAATATAAATCACACATATTTCCTTTTTTGCTGTGTAAATAGGGCTATATACACAAAGCTGTTACGTTTCATAAGACTTCAGACTATTAAGGAAACTACTTCCTCAAATCTAATTATTGATTATAAAAAACTTCAAAACAATGTGTCTGGACTACCTTTAGCAAAGTTAATTAAGGTCTCAGATGTCTAGATACTATCTACACCTGTCTTATTATAATTGTTTTCAATACATTAGTACTATTATTCATTTATAAGGGTCCTTTGGTTAAAAGATTACTTCACTAAAAATTGGAAAAGAGTTTCCAAGTTTTGCTGTCTTCATTTAACACCTGGCTGATTGCCTGTCCAAGAAGCTACTTCTAGATTCAGTGCTAATACCTCCTGAATAGCAATGATTTGGTAGTATATGATGACCATATCCAAGCATAGCCTTAATCCTAGAGAAGAGAATATGGTGATGGAAAAGTTATCCCTCATCATAAAACAAGATGTGTTTATTTCTTCTAACGATAGTCACTAACCTCACTTAAAATGGTTTAGAGGAATGTTTTCAAATACTATTACTTCTTAATGAGATGAACTAGAATTCAGAAGAAAATACACAGTGCAGGACACATGATAGCTACCATTTTGTGCAAATTTTATTTCAGTTATATCTGCTTTATTTACTGAGCTGAGGGATTGAGATCAAAAATACATATATTTTACTTTGAACAGACGTACATCCTGTTCCTTGTTCCCTGACAATCTAAACTGGCCAAGAACATAGTGAAAGAGTAGAAGTAGGAACTATCTTTTTTTAAATTTCTTCTATATATTCCATTTTTAACCCTTACTAGAGCAGTAGCTATTATTATCTACATTAGTAACTCTCCTAAAGCCATAGAGCTAATAAGTGGCCTGACAGACTTGAACTCGAAGTTCTCTCTGAATTGCTACAGCCTATCACTATTGGTTAGAATTTTTGCTAGCCATTCTAGGAGATCAATGGTCATATGATTTGATGTTGATAAGGTTTGGAAGACTAATTCCGCTCTGAAGTGCAGATATTCAGATTTTGCAGATATCCAAATTAGGCCTGATATGGAATCCCCCTAGGCCTTCTATTGTAAAAAGTTTCCACAGAAATGGACTTAGAGTGTACATATGTACATATGAGCACAATTTTGTCTATGAAATATGAAGTAATTTAAACAACCAGCAAATTTTGCTTTGATGAAATATGATTAAACACAGTCATGGATTAAGACTCTTTTGCACAAGCTTTGAAATAATAAATTCAAACTATACTATCAGAATCCAAGTAGCATAATCATCATGCACTTAAATCGGTACTGTGTAAGGAGAAAACTCCACTCTCACAGTGCTAAAGAGTAGTACTTTTTGGGGGCGCCTGGGTGGCTCAGTCGGTTGAGCGACTGCCTTCAGCTCAGGTCATGATCCTGGAGTTCCGGGATCGAGTCCCGCATCGGGCTCCCTGCTCAGCGGGGAGTCTGCTTCTCCCTCTGACCCTCTCCCCTCTCATGCTCTCTATCTCTATCTCATTCTCTCTCTCAAATAAATAAATAAAATCTTTAAAAAAAAAAAGAGTAGTACTTTTTTTAAAGATTAGTGAAAGCACTGTTGCTTCATCTTAAACACATCTTGCTCTTACTGAAAGTGTTACCAACACCACTTTCCTGTTCCCTTACATCCTTTGTGCTGCAATGATGGAAGGAAGGGGGTTCAGGTTTGCAACAAAGACAACAAAACAAAGCAAAACAAAAAAATTTTGATAGATGTTTTTCTCTTATAATTCTGTGGAAAGTTGTCATTTTTTTATTATTATTATGTTATTTTTTAATTCTTTGGTCCATGTAGGGTAAATCTAGTGAGCATAGTCAAGATACACCATGTTAAATTTCAGAAGGTAATTAATAAATTGCTATTCTTTTAATGGATTTCAGTTGATATATTTTTAAAGGGTAGGGAATGGGATAAAGAATAGTATCCAAATTTTACAGTAAAGCTCCAACATTGTACACAGGAGCAGATGTCCCGGCCTATGGATTTTTCTCTGAAATGTGCAGTAGGTCTTTCCCTTCAGGAATTGGATGAACCAAGACAAAGTGGCTGAATGACAGAAGCTATCAAGATTATCCCACTAACTCCCGTTGGTCTGATTCCATGCTTAAAAGAAATCTTATCATTATATGTTGCCCTTCCATGTAGATATACCTATAGGATGGAAATATATGCCTATCTTGAGTACTTTACCATTTTTCTTTCTGTGTACTTTTAATAATTTATTAGTTCCCTTCCAGGTGTATAGTGGATATAAATCCTTTAGTAATATAACACTATGATGCTCACAGAATTTTAAAACTGCAGGATCTTGAGAGAGCCTGACTACAAAGAGGGTCAAATGCAGATATTGTTGTGGTAATTAAAAACATCACTATTAATGACTTATTAGTACCACTGGATCTTATATTTATTAAATAAAAGCAATGGCACAATCTAAGTGATCTTAGTATTGTTCATTTATCTTTTCTATTTTAAATGCTCTACAAAATGTGTAATTAAAAATAAATTATATCTGGGCGCCTGGGTGGCTCAGTTGGTTAAGCGACTGCCTTCGGCTCAGGTCATGATCCTGGAGTCCCAGGATCGAGTCCCACATCAGGCTCCCTGCTGATCAGGGAGTCAGCTTCTCCCTCTGAACCTCTTCCCTCTCATGCTCTCTATCTCTCATTCTCTCTCTCTCAAATAAATAAATAAAATCTTTAAAAATAAATAAATAAATTATATCTAAGAAAAATGTAATGCTGAACCAGATTATTTTTAATACTTTTTGATTGCAGTTCCACAGAAAGATACATTTATATTTAGAAGAAATTGCAGTTATATTTTCTTCAGTAATATAATCATAAATCATTAAGAAATTCATATCTATGAACATGGATGATTATAATTTTTTAAAAAGAAAACATGTAAACATTTAATACTATAATCCCATAAGAAAGCTAACTCAGTAGGCAGTGAAAAATGTATACTAGCATAAAACTCACTGTACCGTATCAAGTTAAGCGTTTCACTGATAAGTGATTAATATTATAATTTACTCAAAATACTGTGAACTCTAAAGAAGAGTATTTATTATACAAATATCACAACATTAGGTATAGTGAAAATAGCATATTTGGATTTATATATATATCAAGAAATGCTTTAAGCTAGAAGAAATTATTCTACAGCAAATGAATAGTTAGGATAATATTTCTCAAAACATACTTCTTTTCTGCTCAAGATCTGATTTTGATGCCAGGAAACTGTTCAATGTTATCATTTTGTAGAATATATGTAATCACAAGGTCATCATCATGACAAAACACCAGCTTTACTGAACAGAGAAACAGCCATGCTGCCACTCTTGATAGTCCCGTCATTCCTACAATTTAATCACTACCATTTCTTAACAAAGTGGATGATGACGGTTATTAAAATTTAGATTTA